GAAGCAAACGACCACTCGCCGATTGAGAGACAAAGAAATAATGGCATCTCCCCGCCGTCTCATTTTCCCGGACGTATGTGTTGTTTTATCTTGATGAACGGGATCATACCGCTTTTCCAGGGGCAAAAATTACTTCAAAATAGATTTGGTTAAAAATTATATCGAAATAGAACTAGAGTTAGTTACGTTAAAATTACTTCGAAGTAAAGCTGTTTTAATTTTTTTTATGCACCCTCTGTCAGCTTTTCTGAATTTGATTCTTCTTTTCACGATAAACGAAATATCCACTTCGCTACAAATACCTTTGAAGTGCCTTAAGTTGTGGCGCAAGTGCGAGTCGGTACTCATTCTAGGTATGCTATTTCCTATATGGGAGACAAACGCCCTGACAAAGTTTCAGCCACTGTTTTTCGGCAGGTTTTTGAGTTAGCATAGTATTTTTTTAATAGAATGTGTAAATTTCTAATTTTTCCTCAGATTTTTTTCTCATTTCCTACTTATCCTAATTTTATCCTACCCTTATCCGTAATTTTTTATTCTTAAAAATACATTTACAGTCCGTTTCTCTACTTAGCAATTTTTCCAGCTGCTTTGTCCGGTGTTGCATCGCCTAGCTGTCGAACCAACCACAGTCCTGGCATTCGTTTTGCCACCTTATTGAGACTACCAGAACAACAGTTCTCTTCAGCAGAAGCTCATGGTAGCGATTTAGCTATTTACTAGAGCTTTTATCCTTAGAAATATCATTTTCTGATTTTTTCAAGCCGACTGTAGCAACCAGGTTTATCCTAGAAGCCTGGAAGGTGAAGGTGCGAAGATTACAGCATGAGAAAAGGAGATAAGATGTTTCGGTCCATTGAGTCATATGCGCCTTAACTCAACACCGCGGCAGGACCTTGTCAGTATGACGGTCACAATGCTTGACGGAAAAGGAAAAGAGGAAGACGATAGAAAGAAGCAGAAGGGGAAAACGAATTAATAGTGGGATTAGATGGAGTAAGAGTAGGGTAAAGAAGGAAGGGAAAAGGAGGGAGGAAGAAAAAGATTTTAAGAAAGGAAGATTTTTAAAAAAAGATTTTTTTTTTTTGAAAAGATCTTAAAAAAGTTTTAAAAAAATTCATCGTTGAATTCCATTTCGCGCCATAAAAATTTACCTTTCACATATTTCACCTTCATCATTTCGCACCATAAAAATTTGTCTTTTCACATATTACTTAAAGGCGTTTTGCCAGTTCTTGCCCTGTTGTCGCACTTGAATCACTGAATGTTACAGCTGTGAATTATGCTGATGAAGGCAGCGGTGATTTCATGCCTGAGGAATTGTCCAGGCGTCAGCATTATGCCGCGAAAACAGTTGGAGCGTTGGACCAGTTCCACAAGGATTGTTTGGTATTTTTTGCGGAGCTTCGCAGGTGAGCACGCACTCATTCCTACAATCCATAAATCGTATGTTTTGAAGTTGTTGCGCCAAATGTTCGTATTCGTTAGTTTGTGAATTTTTGTAGATTATATTGTGCAACAAAAACAGAAGATCTGCAAAAAGTGAACAACGAGGAGAAACGAATCCGTACAGCATGTCTGCTGCTAAAACGTCAGTACACCAATTCCATCAAAAATGGAACGCCAATGGTGAGTGTATGTGTGTATATATGTATGTGTGTATGTATGTATGTATGTGTGTGTGTGTGTGTGTGTGTGTGTGTGTGTGCTGTTGCTGATTCTATTCCTCTTTTTTATGCATTTTTTGCATCTATGCAATGCAAAAACGCATATTGTCGCGTGTTTGTCTGTCTGTCTATCTGTGTGTGTGTGTGTGTGTGCTCGCTAGTCTGTACCGGTTTTTCATCTCGAGACCCGACAATAGCTACAGGGCTGAAACTTTGCGAACTTGATCTACATGCACGTACGGGCCCCCATCTCCAAAATGGTCGCTTTTACCCACGTGATTTCCGCGCATGGGCCCAACAAATTTTTTGGCGGTTAAGCTGCTAACTCGGGAACCTGAAAAGCTAGAAGGTTGGAATTTTAAGATGGTGTTCCGCGCCACGTAGGTCTTAATGAGTTCAAGCCCAACTCTCAAGTATGCGTGGTTCCCACGTGCGGAACCGTGGAAATTTTTTGCGGATAAGTCGCTAATTTGGAACCTGAAAAGTTGGAAAACTGGAATTTTACGGGAATGTTTTCTGTTCACATACAATCTAATGACTTCAAATTCAGTGTCGGATGTCTGTGGTTCTGCCCGTGAAAATTTTTGGCGGATAATTTGCTAATGCGGAAACCAGAAAAGCTAGGAAGCTGAAATTTTAAGAGGATGTTTTTTCACAGTCTTGGGGGTCAGTCTCAATTCTTTTAGCTAGGAGCGTCTGCTGGAAAAAACAGTGCTGTTAGCGACAAAAACCTGTGAGAAACAATGCAAAAAACTCACCTTTGCACCGGCAATCAGTGCGCTGGCCAATTTTTTCCTTCCGGCATTTTCCTACCTGTCTTTCCTCTGTTCCTTTTCCTCCTGTTCCTGCAATGATTAGTAAATCATGATAAAAGTAACATTCCTGTTGCCTGTCAAAAAATTCCAAGATTAAAAAATTATTCAAAAATTAAAAAAAAAATTCGAAAATTTTTACTTATAGAAGAATTTTGTGGATTATCATATTCATGAAAGGGCGCGAATACAGTGCTTCAATCTTGACATACAACGACGGCTCGCTGCATTGCGGTATGTTTTTCACCAATTCCTCAATTCACATCGATTTTGCTGTGTTGTTAGCTTATTTTCGAAAAAGTTCTTAGTTGCAGAGGGCGTCCGGTGAGTTCGGATTTTGAGGAAATGAAACGACGCGAGGAGAATGTGCTTCGTTCAACAAAATACGCTGAGGAAAACAATTTACCTGGTACCTTTGCAAAATGGGAGCAAAAATTACGAATGCATTTTCGCAGCAAAGGTTCCGTTTTTTAATTTGATAATGAAAAATTAAAAATTTCTTATTAACACTGTGTGCAAGGCGGAAGCATCCGGAAGTAGTCTGAGTGGTAGCGCATGCCAGCAGTAAACGCCTCTTAAAATTTCAGCTTCCTAGCTTTACTGGTTCCTGAGCTATCGACTTACTCCTAAAAAACTTTCACAGGCTCGCACGT